GTACCATTACCGGGGCCAGTTTTGCAATGCTCTCCCCCGAAGGTGCTCTTTAAGTGAACATTTGAATGGGAAAATCTATTGTATTGAAGAGTTAAACGATTTTGATATTGACTGAAGCCATATTTGGTCTGACACATTGCAGCCATTTTGTTAAAATGGTAGTGTTTTTTCCAAATTGTCACTGGTGTTACCGTCACTGGTGTTACTCTCCTTCCTGGTAACACGTAACACCAGTGACATTCCTATACAAATAAGCTTTGTATAAAGTATAAAAATAATTAAAAAAATTAAAATACTTTAAGCTCTACTTATTGTGGATTCATCAAGTTAAGAGTTAGTTATTGCTATTTAACAGGTTTTAGATGTTTTTAGAAGGAATATATTTCAGCAGATTTGTATCACCCAGATTCCACCTTTTCTGTAGAATGACCCTTTTAGCCCACCATATGTATATTATCAATTAGGGTAGACACTGAAAACACACATCCTAAATTACCATGAAATTGAAACTCAAAAACAAATCGCGAACATTACAAGATGCTTTGTTGGATATTGCGCTACTTTCTATTCAGCTAAACTAAGTTAGGTGTAACGTTAAAGTTAGCATAATAAACAAAAAGCTGCAACGTAAATCATTATAATACGTTACTATAGAAAGTGAAGAAGCATAGTATTTGAACTTCGTCTTCTGTAGTTCTTAGTTTATATGTAAGCAGCTACAAATTGAATGTCCTGATTAGAAATATGTTATGTTTCTTTAATTACAACTTTAGCTCACCTGTTTGACATACACACAGCTACTTGCTGTTCCTCTCCTCGCCGATGGGGGGCGCTGTTATGCTCTCGGCCGTTTACGCTCCCATGTTTTGAACGTACGAGCAGCGGTGCATTATGGGTTACAAAATGTCTCCTAAGAGTGCTGGCTAATGCTAAATTACGAAAGGTTCTGGCAACTAAATGTATATTTCTACCCTTTTTTACAGCGGTTATAGTGGCAGTACATATATCCCTGATATAGTAACGGTATTCTGCTGCCGCCATGGTGAGTATAGAACCTAATTTCTCCCCAGCATTAGATTATTAAATAGCTCAAAGCGCATTTTAGCTTTAGCATAGTAGCCCGGTTTAGCACAACAGAAAGGACATTAAATAACTAAACATGTGTTGAGTCCGTGAACAGAAGTGTCTTACCTAGTTTTATTTTTCAGGGTTATCTATTCTAGACGGTTAGTTAGAACTCTGCATTGTGTTACTTAGTAAGTTAGAGCCTTCTTCCGGAAACGCTGATCGGAGTTCAATATGATAAATCTGTCTCCTGTCACATCATGACCTCAATCACAATGAAAGACACTTTTCATAAGTATTTGTCTTTTTTTTTCTCCAGTCAACGAGAACGGAGTCCAGGGTATCCAGCTCGAGCTCCAGAACAGATGAACGGAGGAGATCAAGGAGCACAGGCACGACCGCTTAATAATAATATTCAAAATATCAGTCATTAGGGTCCTATACTCTGGGATTCTCTTTTACATGAACCAAGCTTAACAACCTGTATTTTAAAGAAGCCTAATTTCCTTCACAAGCATTATTTAGGATTGAAATATCTATTAACTTTTATTTGAAAATCTGTGTAGTTAGTATTATGATTAATCATCTTAATAATCTCATTGGTGCATCATGTCACAGTTGGTTGTTCATCCACAAAGTATTTGGGTTACTAGTTTTTCAATCTTTCTGTCTTTTAATTCAGGTCGGGAAAAAACAAAGCGTAAACGCAGCCGCAGTAGATCGTCCTCCTCATCTTCTTCTAGTTCATCATCCTCATCTTCATCTTCATCATCCTCTTCTTCATCGGGTTCATCACACTCATCCAGCAACAGTCGGAGTAGCTCTAGCAGCAGCGGTAAGACTTCATCTTCAAAGTCTGCAACACATGCAGGAATCTGTCTGTTTTTTTTGTGTTGAATTGTATTTATTGTTTTTATGAACTGTGTGCTTTGTTAATTTACATGTTAAATCTATGTTTTCATAATAACTGTACTAATATTAATTTATCATTTCAATGTGTTTTGTTTTTGTAGACTCCCGTAGTAAATCCAGAAAGCAGACTAAGAAAAGGAAAAAGGAGAAAAAACCCAAAAAAGTAATCTGACATTTTATCTCATTTATAAAACTGCAACCGGTTTCATTTCAAAGTGACTGAGGTGTTTTATTACCGACCATGACTCTGACTTAAATCCAACGTATTTTCTATCCTGCAGCAGAAAGCAAAGAAAGAGAAGCGATACAAACGTAAAAAAGACAAGAAAACAAAAGAAGAAGAAAGCGCGGGACCTGTTCAAATATCCAAGGTAACTGCCGTAAAGGTCCCATCATTTTCTTCCTGTGTCCCCAAAAAATATGTATGGCTTTGCACATTATTTTAGATGGTAAGGAAGTTTCACCATTTTCAATTGGACATCCTCTGATTAATTTAAAATAAACAAAAATCAAGTCCACCTAGATAAGTTTTGCCCAAACATGCTCCAAATCTCACCAAACCCCATAAGATCTTATTCCATTTTCTGTATACCTGAAAGCAATTTAATTGGACAGTGTTTTTTTAATTGTTTTTCTAGCTCTAACCGCTGCTACTATGATCTTCTTATACAGGGTGTCCGCGGGGTCTTAAAAAGTATTAAAAGTTGATAAATCAATTTAAAATTAAGGCTATTAAAAAGTATTAAACGGCATTTTCCAAGGTATTACATTTTGTAGCTTGTTTTCAATAAGTATATAAATGGTCCAAAGAGGTTGTATTCTACAGTCTGCCTGAATGTAATCATTGCGTAGGTGTGTAGTGTGATTCTGTGTAGTTTATTGATGGCATCCCGTTGGATTTGACGTCATCTGAACAGGACATGGCACGCTCACTGCTTGATAGCGTGAAGGCCCGTTTACGCCGGTTGTTAAACAACATCGTTATGGGGAAATGCAAGTCTGCGTCCAAATGGTTGGAAGATAAGGAGGAAGGACAATCAATACTGTATATAGTCAATGTGAGGTAAAGTGTGTCGCCAAGGTAACCGGTTAAAACTCAAAGTGACGATGAGGTCTTAAAATGTATGAAAAGGGTCTTAAAAGGTTTTACATTTGACTTCAGGATTCCTGCATACCCTGTTATAGCTGTTAGGGAAATAATTGTCCTAGACTCCTAGATATGACGTGCATGACCAACCCTGACGTCTGTTATCTCCTTTAAGGAGATAGGCTGCTTCAGCCATATGTTGTTGTTGTTGTTGTTGTTCCCATTCTATGACCGGGCAACCCTAGGTCACAGATGGTTTATTGTTGTGGGTACACTGGGACACTTCCTTCTCTGTGTTTGTGGACTTCAAGGTGTGAAATCTTCGAGGCCATAAGTGTCAGATGCAAGTAACTCAGTGTTCCCAGCTGTTTAGGCTATCTTCTCAAATATGTTGATTGCTCTCTGCGAAACCAGTTAAATGGGCTAACGAGAGAGAGGCGCTCCAGAATTGACGTGGCAACTCTACGGTGCAGTCAGACCGTGCTGCTGTGACTTGTGATGTGAATTCTCCGGCCGAAGCTCCAAATACACCATCAGTGTTTGACATCAAAGCTCCTGCTCTTCCCGTGTCTCTTTCCTGAGTCGGTGACTCCCACTGCATAGCTACACAGAAGTTTCCCTTAGAATAGCTAGTGGCATTTGCTCTCACAGGCTATGTAGTTTTTTCATTACTTTTATAATCTAGTACCCTTAAACTTACATGTGTTTTCCTTTCAGTACTTGAAAGACAAGAAAAAGGGCAAGTACAGCATGATTTCAGGGAAGAAGATCAAGATGAAAGTAAAGAAGACAAAGAAAGACAAACAGGTAATCTCTACTTTTCACTGTCAAGTAAGTGATCAAGTGTTTCTTGATAGTTTGTGAACTGATTTTAAACTTTTTTCGTTGAAATGAAGCAAGATAAAAATCGAGCTGAACTTCTGGACTTCTTGAACTCGACCGTGTGATGGCGCTATGGACAGTAGTCGTGGTGCTCGGGCTCGGAAACCTCTGCAGAACTCAGGAAACGACAATTTGGAGAACAACACTGAAGAGTTCTCTGAGAAAGAAACGATGAGTACGACTTGCAGCAGCGAGCCTCACAGGGCGAATGTGAAGACCCCTAGCTTCCTTTTTCACAGGGCACTTCCCAGGTGGCCAATCCTTCAGCTTAGTCTGATAGCTTTTTGTGATATGAAAAGTGTTTATGTTTAGCAGTGTCATCCAAAATGGTGTCTGTAACCAAGCTTTGGTCACCTCCGATTTAGCATTACCTTCCGAAAACATGGTCGCTCTCTTAATGGACCAGAGATATTGTCTTTTTTATTTCTCGCATTTCTCTTCCTTGTCTAAATAGACACCTACATTACCCACAATGCAACTCTCCTGCCGACAGTTTGGCTGGAAATTGGGGAATGCTATGCTAGTGATGAGGAGTAGGCTACACAGGTCTGGTAAGCTCACTTTTCAACTCCGCACCCCAGATTATAAACGTTTCAACTTCCCCTTTTAAAATGTTTGTTTTAACTTCCTGACTCTGTCAATCACTTATGTCCACATTACCACATGTAGGATTGCCCATACATATATTAATTTCTGTAGATATTAAAACCGTTATGTTTCCAAATAAATGTTGGCTGTGTGAGCCAAAGTGTTATCAGTGTTCACTGATATTTCATATGTACATTTTGTTTAAAAATGATTGGAGAATTGATTCCGTGGTTTGAAGGTAACTGTTTTAGTATTACTGTCTTCCTCATTACCCCCATATTCTGTCATGAATATTTTTCAACATCAGACATTTATTAAATTGAAATATAAAAACTACGACCCCTCTAGTCCTCCTGTATCAATACAGGTGGAAGCTTTGATTGGAAGATGGAGTAAACCTATTGTGTACTGTTGAATTTTGATGCGTGACAAACAGAAAAGAAACGGCAATAAACGGCTGGAAAGATTTAACTTTTTAGTAACACTTAGTGATCATTTATTTGAGTCTCTTTATTTTAAGCCCTGTTGCAGGTGAAGAACAGAAGAAAAGCTTTCAGTTTGCTGACCTTGAATGATGAATTATTGTGCCAAGTCTTTGAGTGCTGTTGGGGAAGAAAACAGTGAGCAGTCTGTAAAGGGAGAGCATGACTCAGCCTCTGAGTGACGTTAATGTTGAGCATTGACTTTTAGCAGTCATTTGTTATGTACATACAATTCATACAGAAATCTCAAGCAACACACATTCGGACAGAACGGACCATTCACCTCTGCAGCCATTTAGTGTCGTGTGACATAAAACAACATTTTTAATAAGCTCCTGAAACATGTATGAGACAAGAAAGCCTTTAAATGACATTTAAATTGAATACATATTCCTATTAGGCCTGCACGAAATAGCTCTCAATTTATACTAAATATAAAACGCATCACTGTAGGAGCTGATTATTTCACACTGAGTTAAAACGGTTTCAAGTGAAGTCGAGTTGCAGAGAATCCGAGAAAAACACCTGCTCTTTAATGTGTGAATTGATGAAATGGTGATTGGTGTCATACTGCAAAGACCTGGAGAATTGTGGGAATTATCCTGCCTCGCTTGGTGCAAAGTGAACATCTGTCCCACTGAAGCGTCCACCAACCACCACCACTGTCCTGTGAACGCCTCAGACGACCTTACTGCTGCCGCTGCCTCCTTTGTATCTGAAGTCAGGCATGCTCCACGTCCTCTGCGCTCGCTCCACGTCCTCGGACACCGTCTTCAGGTCGCTCAGTCCCGTCCCGTCGGTCCCGGAGGTGGTCAGGCCCACGGTGCTGCCGAACGGGTTGATCTTGATGCGGGACCTGAAGTTCATGAGGGACATGCTCACGGCGCGCTTGTTGTTCCACTGGTTGGAAAACCGCTGCGCCTCCTGCTCCTCCTTCAGTCCGTCCAGAGTCTCCAGGAGGACGGAGCGAAACAGGCCGGACACCTCCTGCACGTCGGGGTCATTGGCCTGCATGGCCTCCCTGAACCTGGGCAGGACAAAACACACGCTGCTGGTTGATGGAGGGTCAAATTGTCAGTTTAATCTTACCTATAATAAAAACCTGATAATAGACTGTTGTGTGTAAAACTAGAACTCAACAGCACCTGAAAATCTAGTTTTTTCTCTGACCTTTCTACCGTGAAGTACTATTCAAGATGTTGCACATTACTGTGAGATTGTATTGCAGATATACATCAGTATGATCAGAGTTGAAACAAAGAGTAAAATATCATTGTTCAGCCTTGTTAAGTTAACCTTGCTAAATCTTTTTTTGTCCACTGATTGGCAGCCGAAAAAAGCTGTAAATTATTTGATCAGAAGTAGAGAAAATATAAAAGCACAAATCCATCTAATAACAGTCAGTCTCTCTCACTCCATGTCCACATGAACTAACTGACACGACCGCGGGCAGCTGCAATCAACAATGGATGCAAACTGAACAACTTTTTGATGCATTTTATCGAGGCCTAAAAGCAGGACTAAAGCCCTGTTACAACACAGGGTTAAGTAATCCGATTTAATTAATTTAGGAACCCCATATACATTCAATCTTGTTTTACTTTCCACCCTCTCTCTTCCTGGAAATTCTGGCAGCGGGAAGAAGTACTCAAACTTATTTTCTCAAGTAAAACTAATAAAAGCCTATACCGAATGATAAAAGTCCAGGGTTGAAAATGTTTAATACAAAAGTGAAGCAGTATCAGCACAATGTAGTCTTCTTATATGTTCTGTTAAAAGGATAGAACATCAACACATGAAGACAATACACGACAACAAGGTCTTGAATATCAATATATTTGAAAGATCTGTTTAATTTCTAGCAGAATACACCACTGCAGGTGAATTGAAGAAAGAACCTCAAGGTTGGAATGTTATGTACCAAGAGTTTTATTCTGACCTTTAGACAAGATGATTCAAATGATGGCAAATGTTCTAAAAGGCAACCTGGATCACAGTCATCACCCCCACCTGAGTGACCAGCGCACTCTTACTAACCACCCAATTACTCCTCCCCCTCTTCTTCTTCTCCTGAGCCATAACAAGCCTTTAAATAGACGGCTGTCTTTGGACTTGCTGTCCAGAAAGTGCTTCAGGTTAACTGATGATTGGCCTGCTGTACTGTGTACTAATGTTAGCTCTGAAGACACTTTCAGGGGCCACATTCAGAGTTATTATACTTTAAAGTGAATCATTGACATGCTACCAATGGTAGGGAAACATGGCACAAAGGTACAATTTATGATTTAATTGATTATATTTAATGTCAACATAAAAAAATACAGGACTAAAACCTGCTGTCAGTCTCTGGATAATAGACCGTATGACCTTAAGTAGAGGATTAACATTAGAATAGACTAGATCGAACTTATTGATTGACCATGAAAGGTCATCAGCAAACAATGATGAGCCTACAAATCTTTGTTGCAAGTTTTTAATCTTTTTAATATATTACTCAAAGTTGCATTCCTGCTTTTGGAAATATAAGCAATATAAGCCATCAGGCACATCAGTATAGCTGAGTTTAAGCTGTAATTTAAGGTCCAATTACTAGCTTTTCCTGGAGCTTTTAACTTAATTCCTACGAATAATTGTTGTTGCTCTCCCTGAGGTTTCTCCCATGTTCCCCTTTAAACTGTGGGTTTTCTTTGGAAGTGTTTCCTTGTACGATGTGAGGGTCTAAGGACAGAGGGTGTCGTATTGTCATACTGATATTCTGTACAAACTGAAGTCCACTGAGACAAATGTAACATTTGTGATATTGGGCTATATAAATAAATATTGATTGACCATTATTTATTTTCTTAAAATAGTTGTCACAGAAGAGCACAATAAAAACTACTCAGAATAAGAGAAAGCTTTCACCCGAAATCCCTATAACCCTCCCACTTTTTTCTTAATTCATCCTCTCCCATTCTTAATCTCTCATTTATTATTATCTAAAATACTATCATCAATGTGTGTACTTTGTGGAAGTTGATTCCAGACACAGAGTGAGAGATTTTAAGGACAGGATGGCATTTGGGAAACCCCAGATGTACATCATGTAGTGTCAGAGAAAGCGTTTGGTTAATTACTTCAACAGAGGACTCCCCTGTGCAGTAATTAAAATCACACAAACACGCTCACTGGGTGTGTGAGAGAGTGTGTGTGTGAGAGAGAGTCTGTGTGTGTGACACTTCCACTCAGCGTTTAGCACCTCGCTGCTCACTCACAGTAAATCTGCTTCTCAAAAACCTGCCGACCTCTAACAAGACACCTGAGACTCGGCAGATGCTCCTACAAGCTCAGGACATTTTTATTGCAAATTATAGAACAGAGATATAAAAAAATAAATGAGTCATGTGAGGGGACCACAGAGAAGTTTCATGTATTTTAGTGGACGGTTTGGATTTAAGCCACAATGAATAACCCTTAACCAGTTAAGCCCTGAGCCTGTTTTTCAGGTTTCAGGCTCGAAAATGCCACTAACACAACAAATTAGATATCTTCACTTCTAAAAGGGGTAAATTAATAATTATTTTTCTCAAAGCAAGGTTACATCTGTGAGTTGGATGTAGAAGTGTCAGAATCAATATAGATGTTTTTATTTTAAAGTAAATTCAGATGGAACATAGTAAAAACATGTAAATTATAATGTCCACCTAAAAAAAAACCTTTACTTATAGTGAAAACCACCCTTGCATGATGGGTTAGTAGACTAAAAGCTTTAGGAATCCAAACTATAACATATAATAAGTACCCTGTATCAAGATTGATGCAAAACAAGTGAAATTTGACCTTTTTAGAGAGATTTAGAAAAATAAAGTCTAAGCGGACTCACCTCTGGGTAATTTGGGAACCATCGGTTCCATTTGAACTTTTTCACTGTAAAAATCATTTTATTACTTTGAATTATCACTATAGGTATTCATTCCATCCAAATACAACTGTTGTGAAAAAAATAAAAAAATAAATAAAACATAGGCCTACTCTTACAGTGAGCCTCTGAATTAGCCCCGAGCGAAAAATGCTAACCTATTACTGCACCGAAAATCACTCCTCGCTCCCTTATTACTTATCCTAGCTGCACATCCAACACATTGTTTATGATCGCAAGGAGACACAGAATCTAACGGTGCCCACCTGAATAGCCCAACACTGAAAGATACAAACTCGCGACGTTATCAACAAAAACGTACATCAAAACAAATGGCGCTAGCGCTAATGCGCTAGGCTAACAATGACTTACCTTCCTCGTTGTCTGGTCTAAACTGGTCTTCAATGGCATAAAAACGATGATGTAGTTAATCCATAGATTAATATCCAATGGGGCTGTGTCCCCTTTGAAATGTTCTGATAATCTATAAGCAATAAAACTGCAATTCCGTTATCTGCTGTCCGCTCTGTGCTCCGTGCGCTCTGGGTCCTGCTGCATTTCCTGCTTCGTTACGTTGTAAACAATAAATGAAGTCGGCTGCGTAATGTACTTAAGCTGGCTGGCATTCTTTATAGTTTACGCAGGACCATATCTCTGGAACCCATTGGTCGATTCCTGTGATTTACACCTTTTTCTTAACCATCAGAACCAATAGAATCGATGGGCAGTTCCCAAATCTACGTAAACATTACCATAGCGGACGTAATAGAGAAGCAAACGAAGCATATCTGAAAGTGCAAGCCTGGACGGCAATACTTTATACCGAGTATATTGCCATAAATATGATGATTGATTATCAGTAAAAAATTATACGTGACACAAAGACATTGGATTAACCTTGAGATGTGTTTTTATTCCGTTGAACACAACTTTTTATCACAAATCAAAAAAGGTAAGACGTAATTATTGTAATATTTTTGAAACCGGATGTTGTTTACTTTCTCTTTTCTGGCTGATAGATCCAGGAATTCGAGGTCGGACAGTGATGACATTACATGTGTGGAATCTGTGGAGTCTCAGCTTTAAATCGTATATCTTGTTTGTGCAGTTAAGATAGTAATAAGGGCATTTCTACCGTGTGTTGTGTGTAAAAAAGCGTTAGCATTAGTTAGCATTTTTTCGCTCAATGCTAATTCAAAGGCTTGGTATTACTCTTGTGTTTTTTCTAGCTAACAATTGTTCTTATTGTCAGTTAGCGGAGTTTCTTACCTTTAAAAGGGTATGAAACATTAATAGTTTCATAAATGTTAAGAAGCCCTGAGACATGTGAGAAAAAAAAACTGTGGGAGGGGTCCACTGGGGGGACCTTCGGGCTTAACTGGTTAAGAAAAGAGGACAAAAAGTTATGTGTCAAAAAACTGACATAAAAGTTAAATAATATATTGACGTTATTTTACTCTTTCATTGAGTTTATTATTTTAAATAACTTTAGTCCTGGTCATGAATACCTAATATTGTTTTTACCCTTTAAATGCCAGTTTGTTCACGTAATGCCACTTGAATAATTATTTGAATAATTGTCTGAGTGTTAACTAAATTCCACAAGTATTTAATTCAGTCGAGGATTTGTCCTAGTGTTCCCTCATACAGAAACAACAACCCTAGTTAAAACAAGTTAAATAGCATGTATTTGCCCCATAGAACTAACATGGGAACATTCAATAATACAAGCTACTCTGAAGGCCTGGCTCTGGATTGAATATACTGAAATAATGAAATGGATGATTGTATGCTTGAGTGGCTGAGAAATCTGGGGGATTTCAATTTGGTCATTGTGTGTATTTTGTCTACACAATTTAATATAGTTTAAAAAGTACATGCTTTTGATCTCATTTGGGGAGGCTGTGGTTCAGGGATAAATGGTGTCTTTCAATCTGGGGTCAGTGTTTCAATCCCGTAGATATGCCCACTGTATTAAAGGTCCCCTATTTTACAGTTTTTTATTACTTTATTATAGGTCTCAGATATATACAAAACATATCTCTGAAGTGTTTGGCTTGAAATACCAAACAGATAATTGCAGCATCCCATAATCCCCTCTGTTTCAAAAGTGCTGATTCTCTGTCTGTTACTTTAGATGAAAATAAGGAGCCCCTCCCCACGCCCCTCTGAGAGATGTTTGGTTAAAAAGAACACAATGGTGCTCTAGAGGAGATTCAGGCAATAAGGTGGGGGGGGGGGGGGTTACCTTGGTTGGTGATTGGCTAATGGTTACACAAGACAAAAAATCGTTATGACATCATGAAATGGCCAAAATCTGATCAGCTCATTTTCAGACAGGTTTTTATATAAATGGATCAGGACAAAAAGAGAGAGAATATTTTTTCCTGAAACTTTCAGAGTCTCTTTACACAGAGGGGATACATGTTGATGTATAAAAGACATGGAAAAGTGGATTTTGCAAAATAGGGGACCTTTAAAGTGTATTCAAGTAACTTTGGATGACAGCTTCAGCTAAAATAAATCCTGATATTTCTTAGTTATTTTCTTAATTATGAGTTGGCCACCCTGTTATAATAATGAAGCTACAGTTGTGCCTCCTTACTTGAGTATGACCAGGCCGCAGTAGGGGGGGGGGCACCTTGCAGCAGAGCTCCTCCAGGCCGAAGCTCTCCCCGGGGCTGACATTGAAGGAGCAGCGGGGCGTGTTGGCCAGCCAGCTGTAGTCCACGCCGCTCTGCAGCCGCCGGTACTCGTTGTCCCGCTCCCTCTGCTGCCTCTCCGCCTCCTTCAGCTGCCAGTTGAACTCCAGCATCAGGGTGTCGCTGACCACCTCCTCCATGTCCCGCCGGGGGGTCCGGCTGTACGGCTCGTTCCAGCTGAACCAGGAGCTCATGGCCCTCCTGCTGCACTGACCCTTGATGGGAGGGACACAACCACAAATTATGAGATTTGACCTCAAATCAAATGACAGAAACAACCAAACTGTATGCTCAGCACCTGGACAAAATTCCCAAAAGACAACATCCCCTGTCTACTAGCTCTTTGTTCTGCAGGTGTCTTATCCTCTCCCACACAGACGCTTGTCAATTCAATTTAATAGGCAGTCTTTTGTATGCAACAAGAGAGGCCTCTGATGCAGGTGTTGGTAGGCATTTATTCAGAGTAACACGAGGTTTCAAAAAGGAATCTAAATGTAGGCATGACTATAATTAGACCCTCCAGAAAAACGCGGGCAAAAATCCTTGATTATGCGATCAAACATGCGGGGTTTTATGTGATTGTATGCGGTGAAATTGCGGGAAGTTGCGAAATATGCGGGAAAATAAATATTGGGCTGTCTTATTTATTTATTCTCTCTCACACACAACCTGCCACTAACGTTAAAAGAAATTGGGCTATTTTAATCACACTCTCTCTCACACACACACACACACTTCTCCGCCTCATTCTGTTTTCATTTACTCGTTCGTTATCTGACCAGCTTCAATCTTGTAGGCTACTCACCTCGTTTCTTGTAACCCTCGAAAGGGTTTTGGAGGTTGATGCCTCGGTGAACGTGAGTTGTTTGGCTTTCTTGTCCGCAGCAGCAGAAAGCATTTTCAAATCTTTGAATGAATCAAAGTGGGTCGTCACCGTCGATGTTCTCTTATGCTCCAACACAGTTGCACGGGGTGCAGAATAGTTTCCCCCCACTTTCGTGCATGACATCGGAGTACTGCTTTGCCCGGTCTTTAGCAGAAATGTTCGTCGGTAAATGAGATGGATTAGATGTTTTCATCTTGGTGTTTTCTCTCTCGTGTGAGCTCCACACGTTCACTCTACGGTGTTGTTTACCTTCTGTGATGCGCGAGCTGATGACGTCGCGTCGTCATCATCATCACTTCACGTCAAGACGAGTTAACTTTTTTTCCCCTCAACTTTGTGTGGAAAAATGCGGGGATTATGCGGCCTTTTGATAAATATGCGGCCTTTTAAAAATCTGCGCCATTTTGCTGATTACGCGGTAAATTCTGCGATCGCAGAATCGCGTTTTTCTGGAGGGTCTATAAAATAAGCGCTATAATGGTGAAAGAAAACCCATCAGCAAACATGATTCAAACAATCAATGTAATCTATATCCATATCATATGTAAGTAGGCTAGATGAGTGTGCTGCACTGTAGTGGGTGTTTTGGTGCTGATTATCACCATGTGAAGAGCCACAGAGTGAGATTAGTCACAGCCTTCACCTCTGAGCTGACTAACCCTTCAAAATTGAGTCACACATGCAGCCAATACAGCCTTTCAAACAGGTAACACGTCAATTAGACTATCGACTGTCTATTTAAATAATACAATAAATAAACATGATCAATATGTGTCCGTCTGTTTTATTGATTGATCTGCCATTTCAGTTTATTCTATGAAACATTAAAGAGAAAAAAGAACATCCAACTTCCCCGAGAGCAAAACGTGACTCGATTTGTGTAGTCCGACGAACAGTTCAAAAACCTTGCAAAAATGATTTGTCTAAAAGCAAGACATCTCAAATGGTAGGACCTTAAACCATTACATTCGGTGTATTTGACCTGAAAAAAATAGATCTATGAAATGAAGGAAAGATAATTAATGATCTGTTTATTGATGTAATCCTTGCAACTCTTGTTCTGAGATATATTTATCTCTTATGATAACCAGCCTCATAAGCCTCATTAATTATGTCTGATTTGTATACAAATCAGACATAATTAATAATAACAAATAGATCTCAAGATTTTAATTTATGTTTAACTTTATTCCAAATAATATCCCTTTACTATTCAGCTTTACAACTGATTTTATTCTTACATGCGTAGTTGTAAAAGATAAAAGCATATGAATATGTCTAAACATTACAGAATCTGGTTTGAATGTGTTGCTGTTTACTCTGAATGAGCACTATTCTTACCTCTTCTTCTTCTGCTGAAGTTGTTCTCGTGACTCCACAGGAACCAGAATCACTGAAAGACAGAACAAGAAAAGTCCTCAGACATCAGATGTGTGGCCGGATGCTGAGGAAACAAGAAAGAAAAGCAGAGAGACGAGAAGAGGAATGGTTTCTCTTGTGTTCTCTCAGTCCCACAGCATTATCTCTCTCTCCCTTCTCCCCCTCCTCCTCCCATGAGCCTCTCTGGCCTGCCTTTACTTGTTGCAGGAGGTTTAGGGCACCATCTCCAACGGGAGCCATTGGATCACTGCGCGTGATGAAGTGCTTATGTAGCTGTTTTACGATTGGACGTTGCCATAGTGATGCTCCTAAGCCTATTTGTCCACAATAAGCTCCATCAGCTGAGAGGGAGCCTGAGAGCGATGAAGAGGCAGATAAAGAGGACACAGTGGGTACAGAGCGCAGGGATGGAAATAAGGGAGATAAATCAAAGTGTGTTGTTTGTTGTGGGCAGCGTAGCTAAGTGGAGAACGTGTCAAATGTGCGAGAGGTCAGCCTGTGTGAATTAACAAAGATAATGAGCCCCACTGGCCCGGAATGGGCGTGCATGAATTATAGGAGGAAATGTGCTAATTGCAGGAGGGTGTGTGTGTGTGTGTGTATAGGAGGATATCATGGTTTGTTGGCTTATTCTGTGTGTGTAGGTGTGAGCTCACATTCACTGTAACCTTGAAATCCTCGTCACACATCCACCACCACAACACCACCTTCCTCCTCCGTGTTGTACAGTTAAATAAAATGCTGTCTGAACTATGAACTCTATCCAACAGCAGTCTACACAGAGAAACAGAGAGATTTATGAAGAGCTGCAACTGATTGTTTGTGTTCTGGAGTTAAAGACTGTAGCACTGATATAATGCATTATAAACAGAAGTATACATGCATTAGAATCTGCTTATAGCACCGAATAATTATAGCTATAAGCATCCATAGAGGTGGATATATCTTATCTATTAAAAAATAATCATAATACATCTTTCAGTTATTAACCTTCAAAATGTTTTCAATATCAGTTGTAAACAAATTAATTAATTGCTTTGTGTTGTTTCAATTATATTTGTTCACTGTACTTAAAACCAAACAATGTGCCTCCGAGTGACTAGTAATCATATTATGATTGCACTATTGCACTAATCGTAATGCATGTTACCTAAAGCAAATAATGAACATTTAAAATGACTCATAATCCAATTACAATTCATTATAAAAACGATAATATAAAAGCGCTATGCCATTTATAATATATTATTATTCTTGCAAGGACGAATACAACTTAATGAGCAGCAATTATGAAGTGTTATGATACGTGACCTTATTGTTTTGTTTTTTAAATGCTTTATAATTTGTTATAACTATTGTTGGAAAGGCATTTTAGAAACTATAATTGTATAGCTATAAGCTGATTTTAATGCCTAATGAGGGTGTCATAGTGTTACCAAATTACATGAAAGTAAAATATTAAACAAACAAATATTAAAATATTAAAGAAAGAAGCACCTTATAGTTCAGACAGTACTATAAGTACATGGAAGAAGCTAGCACAAGCACAGCAACACTGCTTTTGTTCTGGGTCATAGTGTCATGCTTATAATCTGAATGAATGAATGAATAACCACAGAGAGCGACAGTGAGGCCTGCAGCATGTAAAGGCAGAGTGTCTCATTCATTTGAAGGTGACACATGGGAAGGTAAACTCTCCCTATAATCCAGACGGATGACAGCGTTAATCCTCTAAAGTGATTCCCTCCATTAAACACATTTTAACCTCCCGGGCTCTGCTGCTTGTCTGGGAGGTTGGGGGAGTTCAGCAGTACTGTGAATGGTGGAGAGACACCTGTGTGTGTGACGTATGACGAGAGCTCTGCATGAGTCACACACACACACACACACACACACACACACACACACACACACACACACACACACACACACACACACACACACACACACACACACACACACACACACACACACACCAAGTGTGAGTCACACCAGGTGTTGGTGTTGACCCTCTGTGGAGAACCAGACGGAGATTGCTGCATTAGTGGGTTTTCGGTTTGTCATTTAAAAAAATGACAAACTCTTTCCCTGATAGCCTTAACATGATTGAATCATTGTTTCATAAGATGTTAGAAAAGGTAATGAGTGAAAAGCATTCAAACCAATCAGAAATTGCATAGTTGTATTGGCAAATATGCTAATTTATTTTAAATGATGAAGCTGTTTAGCTTAGCACAAAGAGGGCTAGACCGTCAGTGCAGTTTGGATAATACCATAACCCTAACCCACATGTTGCATTGTTTATGATAAGCTAAACTGCAGGCTGGAGCTTCAAACTATCCAACATACGTTATCGATCCCACATCTAACAGAGCAAATGCCTAGAATGCTAGTATTTCTTCAAAATGTAATTCGAAGTATGAAATGTTTTATCTAACATTGCTATGATATCGCCCTTCCTACCTTTCTTGCCAGATATTTGTTCCGATTCAATTGACTGCTAAACTGTTAAATAGACTGATTTTAGTAAAGCTGTTGTTTCTGTTATCAAAGGTCAAGTTGTTTATGTGATAACTGCACTAACAGGTTGCTTTATATTGCACCTATGCCAAACTAGGCTTAGTTTGTCGGGGGACATCTTACTTCTTCCTTCTCTCTGTCTATACCTGTGTACTCTCATGTTCCGATTAACCCAGCTTCCCCAAATGTCTTTCTTTTTGGTGTCTATATACGCTGGGATCCGGAGTCATGGATGATCCTGCGGTCCTGTGTCCTGGATCGCGAGCCCTGGATCTTGAGTCGTGGCTGTGGTCCTGGATCATTCTTTCACACACAGTGACGTCACGAGCTACCCACAATGCAACACGCGCCATATATATATATATATATAAATACGCCATTTTCCTGGAGGTGCAAATATCCTGGAAGTGCAAATATAAACAGCTAGCTAACGTAGCCAGGCAGAGCGGACTAGGTTTTTTTTCTGAATTAACGACCGAAGAAATCGCTGCATGTCTTCGGATTACATCTCTGGACTTGAGGGGTGTGCTTTAGGTCGTTACCAGCGTAAACTAGAGCTGTGTGGGTTGTTACAGACTGCCTGCAGATGTATGGAAAAACGACAGTGGCCTTCGTCGATTTTGGCTGCATCTACGTCTAATTTCTGGAAACACCAGGTGAATACCCCACTTGTCACAATAATATTATCATGCCATTGCATATATGTGGTATTTTAGAGTTGACTAGATATTGATTAAGGCAATAGACTATGATATTCAGTACAGGAAGCTTAGCAACACCTAGACGGTGTACGGCTGCTTGCACCTTGCGTAAAACGGCGGATACCAGAAGTACGGTGTCGCGCTCGGCCCAATACCTGTATGTGTGTGTGAAAGAATAGGTCCTGGATGGATATACGATACGATACGATACGATATTACTTTATTGTCAGATCAAGTCTGAAATTTGACTTGCGTCACAGCAGCTCCATGTCCAACATCAACAGACAAATATGCATACACAAATACATGAAACACAAACATTTAACATAACAGCACAATCAGTGAGAGAAAAACATGCTCAAAGAGCCTTCAGCGTGCATTTGGTCTGAGATTTAGCTCTGTATTTACTGTGAGGACTGACTGGTGCACAAAGGAGTGCTTCAGTCTGACTTTATTGAATCGTGGGACCCTGTATCTCCGATTAGATGGTAGCAGTTCATATTCACTGTTCAGAACATGGTTTGGGTCGGAGATGATGTTGTTGGACAGCCTCACTAGGTTGTTATGATAGGCTGAGTCATAGAGTCTCTGACAGGGTTGACCAACAATCTTTGAGCAGATCTTTAACAGGTGGAGCAGTTTTGATTTTAACGCTGCTGACAGACATTTGTACCAGGTAGTATTGCAGTACTGTAGAATGGACATGATCACAGATGTAAAGAAGAACAGAAGAATTTCTCTGCTCGCGCCAAAAGACCTAAGACGGCGGAGAAAATAAATTCTTTGTTTTGTCCTTTTGCTCAGATATTCAATGTGATCCTTTCATGACAGCAGATGGTCAATAATTACACCCAGGTATTTGTATGACACTCCCTGCTTGATCTCATCTGTATGGATGACAATGGGGACTTTATGGGAGTCAGATGGTGAGCCAAAAATGATTTCCTCAGTTTTCTTGGTGTTGATCTCAAGAGCATTGTTATCAGTCCACTCGACCACCTGATTTACAGCCTGTTGGTGCAGCTCAGGGTCCTCGTGGATTCATCTTCCTATTATACACACATGCATTTCCAAACATTTGGACTACCTATGTTGCAAATGTATTTTCTTTTCAATTTACACACGGCATCTATTGCACGTCTGTCCGTCCTGGGAGAGGGATCCCTCCTCTGTTGCTCTCCCTGAGGTTTCTCCCATTTTTCCCTTAAAACTGTGGGTTTTCTCTGGAAGTTTTTCCTTGTACGATTTGATTTGATTGTCATACTGATATTTTGTACAAACTGTGAAGTCCACTGAGACAAATGTAACATTTGTGATAGTGGGCTATATAAATAAACGTTGATTGATGTTCTTTTTACACAGACAACTCAGAAGCTGATCCTGATGTATAAAGCTCGTAATCTTCAAGTGGAGATCATGACTCGTCGTATATAGACAGTGAGACAGCGGGGCTCAGGGGGAAGAGCAGATTGTTCACATGATCCTAAATGACACCACTAATACTGATGCTAATAACAAACTACATCATGCTCATGGTATGTGGCTGATGATATTTGAAAACAAATTATGCTAAATATTACTTTTAAAATGTAACAATTACAATTTGGCCTAATAGCTTAAAAAGTAGATAATTTGCAGATAATTTAAGTCATTTCAAGTCAATATATTTACTTTATAAGATAACACCAAATAATGCTTTTTGTTCCCATCTGTCGCTGGTAAAGAAAAAAAAAGAAAAATGAAATGTCCCAGCTTTTATTTTGAAGTATAACACTTTCAGGGCAAATACGCAGGTGACACGTTCAGGTCATTCATTCATTTTTTGTATTCACTCACTTCTAATCCCTTCTAGACTCTGTGTCTCTATTTAATACATACAGAAGAATACATAAACAATACATATTTGTATGCGCTGGCCTTCATTTTTGTATTTTATGATGGATTGTAGTCCCAAATGAAATGTTTGACATAGCTAAAAGTAGGTTGTCAGCACTCAAACACACCACTAG